CAAACTTTTATGTTCACTCATATCTTTGAATCAACGTATGGTATGAAATTATACAGAGCGCTACAAAATAAGTAACGTTAAGAAACATACCTGCCTGCTTCTCGATGTCCTCACTCCAGACTGTATGACTGGTCTGAGCAACGGACGGAATCAATGGCAGGAACGGAAATGTTTGCTTGTCGTGAACCATTGAAGTATATGCATTGTTTAAGATATTCATTGATGTGTACTGAGGATGAGTCATCATTAGACACATAGATTATTTAAAATTCTGTTTATGAGTAACTGTAAAATGAAAAGACTATAGCAAGTGACCCAGAAACACAAGGTATGAAGGTATTTTGTCCAGTAAAGAGTCTTCCTCCCTTCTTTTTATACAACACGGTGTTGGTCTCTTTTAAAGTACCACACTATATTTTACGGTAACTCTTGACCCAATGCGCTCAAGCTTTACAACTACAGACCTAACTTTACAACAGATACTTGTGAATTACCTTAGAATCACTCCTGCTTCAGCATGTTCTTAGTTTAAGCATATGTGTTGCCAAATAAAACAAAATCTCGGGCACAAGTTTGGAAAACATTATAAGCGCACTTTCCTTACAATTCAATAAAGCATATATGCACATCATAAGATGGCTAACCTAACAAAACATACTACAATGTATATCATTATAATTGAATGAGGAAAAAGAGAGGGAGAAAATGGGAGCGGGAAAAGTAAAGAGATAAGTATGCCTGCATACATACATACATACATACATACATGTACACATGTCTGCACAAACACACACAGTCGTACCCACATATACTTTTTAGCTTATAGTATAATTGATCTGAGGCCATATGAAGGGCCCTTTCCAGCACCGACAGCACTGGTGATGAGCTGGTTCGATTGTCCATCCAATCCCGTGCCGTTTTGTCTTTCTTCTTTCCCGCTGGAAACGGAGTGACTGGTAATCTAAATATTATTCACAATACAAAGCTACGACTTTTTTTAATGAGAACTCCTAAACTTTGAGAAACTCCCTCTAACTACTGGAATGAGTATTTTAAGATACTGATGGATTATGTAAAAGACTTTTTCCATAGTGGGTCAAATTTATCAGGTCCATTATAAAAAATAGCTACTTGAAATGCAAAATGAAACGGGACGCACGTCTTTATTTCTTGACCCCAAAATCCAAACTACTCTCAAATATCTGCATGATAAGTTCAAAGTTGTCACAGGGCTTCTATTAGTAACAGGAACTTTTCATAATTCATACTTACCAACATGAAGAAACATAACATGTGTCTGCAAAAAGAACAAGGTTTGTTTCATAATTAAGGAAAACCTCACCTTTATATTCTTAGTAACATTACAACAAGGGTAAGATTCTCATTGTGACGCTCTATACTCCAGATGTTGAATAAATGGAATGTGGATTTTGAAGAATTCAAAACATCTTTTTGATCAATTTAGAGCATCCTATCCTTAGTTACTTGCCACTCTTTACATGACTATGCCTCATACCAAACTAATGGAACGCCTATTTTCTGTAATTAAGAGAGTTTTATTTTCCAAGAAAGGCGAACGGCGATATAATTTTTATATCGTTTTACACACTGATGAGCATGTTTTGAGAAGAAAAGACCCATAAATGTCAAAATGAAATACATGTAGATTACACTAAAATGCAATCTTGAGAATATCTTGGCTGAGTTCGTAGTAAAGATTTGTCAGCACACTGCAGGCATTCCTAAGGGAACAAACTGGGCCCAACTTCTGGCCGAATTGTTTTTGCTTTCCTACGACGATGATGTTTTTACGAATGAAGAGCTTATCAGGTCTGGTAACAAACACCTTCAACTTAATTTTCTGATGTATCGCCAATGTATTATCTAATTCTACTACGCTTGCAATGTAACGACACGTTTCATTGGTTAGAAACCATGTATGATTGGACGATATACCATGTTCGCTCATATGTTATTTTCCTGCAGACAGACAATGCACTTGCACCCTTTTCAAAAAAACCTACCTTGTTTTGTATATACAAAAACAAGCGAGCCGTGAGATTAGCTTCCTTCGTTGAATGAGGATGAATGCATTGGTTTTTTATATATATCTTTTATAAGATTTTTATTGAACAAACATATACGGTTTTATTAAATCTCTAAATCTACTAAAAACCTAACGAACTACCAATCAGAACGGTCTGCTAAACTAACCTTAACGATGATCTGAACGAGTTTCTGTAAGCCTGCCAAGCGTTGATTTCATGCGCTGACAAGCGGCGTCAATAGATTGCTGATTTTGATTTATTGAAGTAAAGCTTTTGTAAAATGCATGACGAAAGTGATTATTGTTTATCGTCTGGTGTATTGTGAAACTAAATGGCGACTGAAACTGAAGCTTGTTCAGATTTCAGTTTCACAATTATCGGTAGGTACAAATTGTTGACTTAAACAGCCATCGCTCAGTTGGCTTGGGATGAAGGGTCACGCTCAGGAAGCGGGCACGATGCATCGTTTCTCGTATATTTCCGATTAATCAAAAACTCACTACATGTATGTATATATAATAATACTTTCTAGATATGTTCAGGTTTAACATGGCCACTTGAGAAAGAATAAGAAATGATAAAAAGGCAAACTTTGATGTAAAAGGAAGACATAGTCATTATATGACAAATGTTTGCACGCGCAAGAAAATCGCTTATTTTTATTAAAAGCTGTGACGTCATTCTTTGCTCTTATTGTATATTATATAGCAAAATTACAATGAAGTTATAAACCGTACATGTAGCGGTCCGTTATTGTATTAACTGGACTAATAATGGACAGATAAAGGTAAAAAAAATAACTCAAACAAATTTTAGAAAAAATCCATAATTCGCTTTCAGTACGTTTATCCGGATCCATTTACGTTTTGATGTTATTTACATATGTTTACATTTGCTCTGCATCTGTTCGAAATAAAGCATAACAATTCTATCAAAATGTAAATATAAACAATGAATAGTTTTGCATATATTGTTTTGGTCATATAACACACATTTCAGTTACTGACAAACTAATATAAAGCCCTACAGGGCAGGCATCAATAGCAATGTATGTTATAGGACCATAACAACATTTGCTAAAACATTCATTGCCTAATTAACAGTTAAACTTAACCAAAAATCACAGAAAGTTATATTTGATCCAGGCGTAGTCCAACTATCACATTTGAATTAAACTGAGTGAAAACAAAACTTAAGGAAAATTCCAACAGACTGATGTAAAACATGTTTGATAAGTTGATTGTGGAACAATTATCCATACTTGGAGTTCGAATTTATCCAATAGACACTTGTAATAAATGACACAGCAATGTTACTAGTGTTATGGTTCTTTCCTGGAAGTTAGATCAGTATTACTGTCAGCAGTGCCGGTCGATTGAAGTTTTGGCTGCTTTAACTTCCGTCCCTTTCCATTAGTTGTTTATATCCATCATGGTGCATAAAAGAGTTATTTTTCGTAACTTTCACTTTTTTCTCTGTTCGATGTGTTGCACATCCATCAAAATCTAATTGCATGCATTATTATCACCTTCTGAAAATTACTTGTTCTTGCTTGAAATGACAAGGTTCTACCGTCTGGAGAATACCAAGGATTCACTAATATAAGTATTTGTATATGAAAACCATGTAGATTTCCAAATATATTCAATCTACATAAACCTGTACAATAGGTTCACAATATGTATTCATGCATGAATGAGTATAGCTCATGCTGCAATTAACAGCACGTCTTGTTGTTGTTGTTGTTAACTTCACTGCCTGTATGTGTAAGAAATAATCAACACATGCGCGTGTATGACGGTGGAATAAATATCGAGAGTGAGAAATGTTAAAAAAATATTCGATTTATTCTGTGAATCAGGAGAAAAAGTTGGTTTTACTTTTATTTTCAAACACATAGTATTAACTAAACTAGTCTACCAAGGTTTAATGACACGTTGTTTGTGCTGTGAACTATAGTCCGAATCATTCTGACGTTTTATCAACTTTTTTCATACCGGTCTGTCGTCGATTAACGATAATTCGGACTATGTGAACTACAACCTGTCGCGGTCTGACCCATTTAGGCAGTTGTTTACCAAACAAAACATCAATGATGTGATTAGATGAAAAATTCCCCACATCCTGGTCACACTCTTGCACGGCCATCCCTCGACAGGGTCACGAGATGCTTGCTTGCTAGTTATAAGGATGTAACTTTATCTGACTCATAACGAAAGCAGTTAGGGATTCTATTAAATCCCCTTTTCAAAGAAGGTGGCGAAATTAAGCCTGTTGGCAGGGGAAGGGCATCCCTCATGATGACTAATCCAACTAAAATCTCCCTATTAATGATATTCAGCCTGTAATATGTTGACGGATTCCAACAAGCGTTACGCAACGTCTGACACTAATGTTGCTATACATTTCAAATACATTTCATATGTAAATTACAAATTAAATTCACAGCTGATTATACTCATAATTTAAACTCAATATAAGTTATAGAGAAAGCGCATAACTCATAATAGTCCCCATCATAATTATATTCTGTAAAGATTTTTGTTTAAAGCGTTTTTAACCGACATTCCAGGAGTAAAATACATCCGTCTCCAAACCAAATTCTGCCGCTGTTTTCGTGTTCTGTCGGTTAGTAGACTGGTTCTTATCTTATTCCGAGCGTTAAATCGGTTTTTTCTTTCGTTTTTATTCGTGTCCTTTTTGTAATTTTCAAATTATTCTATCATTATTATAATGAATGATATGATCTTGTATTTACCTGATATTTCTCTCAGAGTTGAGCCTAACTTATAAACGTTCTTTATTTTTTTTGTATATATGTGTTACCAAATCAAAAGGGCCGAACTTGATTTTACTTTTTTTTTTATGTAAAAGACCTGAATGATGATATTTTTGAAACTGAAATTAAAAGAGGGGTGTATTTCCAAATAAAAGACGACGTCACAGGATGGGAGTGACCAGATTCGGGCATGCGCAGGAAATCACTCCCTGACGTCTGTACATGTAACCTTGTGCATCACTTGTTTAACACTTAAACATTGCTGACAGACCAGACAGGTAAGTTTTACTGCTAACGCTACAAATACGGCTACGTTCACCTTTTCGTTAAGGCGTATTATTAATAACTTACGTACAGAAAATATTCATGAATTTCATTATTACGGCGAGTGTCACTGAAAGTAGTTTTCTGTTAAGATAGAGATATCAACGGATGTATAAGATTAATGTCGACTTGATTGACAATCGCTTTAATGCGTTCTATCTCTGTAACATTTCAATTCACTTTTTTTATATTTATAATGTATTTAAACCGAGATTATCACAAGGGAATTATTTTTATTTCTGTAACATACAAATATTGATGGTGATGTATTAAGCGACATACCCAAATACCCTCCCTTCTCAGAGGTCCAACAGGGCGGAGTGCATATTTCACTACATATATATTTATAAAATTGCTAGTGTTTTTCATAACCTTTTTTCATTATCAATTAATAATAACATTTATGCTTTCAAAAGGTTGACACTGATGCTTATTTACATATACGAAAAACTTAATATTTATAGAAACAAAAATTAACTATGTGTAACATACGAACCCATCAAACGACTATAAATTAATGGGATTGATTTTATACTTTTTAATTCATAGAAATATTTTATTTTATTTTATTATGTTTTAAACTTGAATATCTGACCTGAATACAATCGTTAAAATGCTCCTATAAGAATATTAGTCAATGTCCCTTTCTGTATTGTTGTAATACACTAGCAGGGGCTAAGTTTAGTAGTTAGAAATGTGCATGTATAGTCGGTATGCTAGGCCTGCCCTGTAAGGTATATTTCCTGCCTTAGGGATTATTCATGCTGTCAGATTTCTCATTAGGACGTCCATCATTTCAGTATTCATGGACGAAAGGTATTTGAGTTGTTTTGCTTTGTTTTCGTTTTTAAAGAAGGCTGGTATTCGAGATATTCTAAAATTACATTTCATTACATGGATATATGCTGAACAAACCCCATGCGTATTCAATATTGATTCCTTACTTATTTTATAACCACGCCATAATACAAGGATTGGTGTGGTACTAAAGGGGTTACCGTCCATTAAGCAGCTTATGTCATTTGAGGACGTGCTTCCATGTGTGAAATTAATGCGTGTGTGTGTGTATGTGTGCGGGAGGCAGTCTACGTTACTGTAACTGCATCCTTTAGATAGCGCGGATCTGATGCCGACCCATCCTCGATATCCAGGGGTTACGCTCACTTTCGCTCTCTACACCCCTGGAATATGTCATTGCAAAATTGAAGTATAATGTACATACCATAGTTAGTGTGATATCATTCCGTAGTACCATGTAGTTGATAAATGCAGTTTTGCCTGCAATTTTGTCTGAAAACAACATAGGCTAGAGAGTCTAAACGTGTTTGTGTTACTCACCGGAATGTGTGTTAAAGAAATGGTTATGTAGGTCGACAGTTTATGTGACACAGGGTCGATTTAGATAATCTTGGTCTTTGAGAAAGTAGCAGAGTAGAATATTTTTTCTTATCTGCGTTATGTGTCCATTTCGGTTTGCGTAAAGCTTTATTTCAAAGACTTTCGTTTTGAAGTTTACAAAGCACAGAGACTATATATCTAGGAACTACGTTTTTTGGACCGGGTATGTTCCTTAGTGGCTTTAAGTTGCTGAGAATATATGCGAGCAAAGTCCACATTTCTAGGTGTATGTTTCTTGTAACAATTGGAATCGCACAGTTAAATTTGGACATGATTGTTATGCTTGTGACTAGCAACTTTTCGTATATGGACTTGTTGAAAATTTTGCGTGACATCTTAACTTCAAGTACACAAACACCCATCCTCGATATCCAGTGGTTTCGTTCACTTTCGCTCTCTACACCCCTGAACTATGCTATAGCAAAATTGAAGGCTCAGTGTGCACCACCTTGTTGATGAGACAAGAAGACTAGTTCGATACTTTGATGTACATCAAAAGAATCTCGCGGTCGCGTAACGGTAAAAAATGACAGGCTTTGAAGTCGAGTGTCGCTCCTTTGTAATCTTCAAAGGACAGGTGATTGGTCAGGTTTTTTTTTACCTGCGACCAATCAAAAAGCTAGCCGCGTGCCTTCAATTTTGCTATGACATATTCCAGGGGTGCAGAGAGCGAAAGTGAGCAAAACCCCTGGATATCGAGGATGACAAACCACTTAGGTCTAGTGGTAGTATTATATACCGGGACACACAAATTGCTACTAGTAGTCAATTCTGATTCCTTAGATACTTTAGATCTTTAGATATCCAAACGTATTACATAAAGTCGTTTTCTGTACATGTTTGCTTTAGATCTTAAAATGTTTCACTAGTACAATATACTGTTATAAACAGGATGCAAACAGGTGTGACGATTAGCCATGCTTCAGGTAAACACGTAGGTCTATCTTCAACCCTTGCGTTCTTTTCATACCAAATAAACACGACGTGACATGTATCATGTATTTAACCAAACCCGGATCCATATATCAAACCCCTGATACGATTGTCTATTGAAACTTTTCACCTTCCAAACCCTTTTTGCCAGATATATCGTAACATCATCACCGCGTCATTTTTATTTTTATTTTATAGGAATGCGATATTATTTTTAAACCTTTTGTCAGAATCAATAACCACTTAACCCTTTCAATCGCAAAAAAGAGTTCCACTCACAGTTTACTAGAGTGTTCTCTTTATAAACAATGAAACAACCAAAATGTTTTTTTTTCTGACTTAAAGTGACTTCCTCTGTGAGGTTTATCATATGCTTTACGGCCCATAAATTGGACACTTATTTTGATGTTGCGCTGCCATAGTTGCTCTATGGCGACATTAGTTAAGTGTATGATTGCAATGTTCGAGTTCGAGCCCTGCAGCTTACTATTTTTTTTTATATATTAATTGTATTTAAAACATTCAAATTTCGAAAAACTACAATTCTGTGAAATGTAAGGTAACATGTGTTGTTTTTTTTTGAAAATCTGTTTTAAAAGCGACTTAAACATAATAGTGACAATGATTGAAAATGTAATATAGCTTAATGTGTTGTTACCCTTTATTTTGATATAATCATGTTATTATTAAACGGACACCCCCCCCCAATTTTTTTTTTTACAAACAAACAAAACCTTAACGTATTGTTGATAACTCATAAAAACCAGTAGATAAATCGTTATTAGTTTATGTCATAATTTTCCAGACTAAACATGAGTGCGACATATCTCCTGCTGTTGTGTATAGGCGTCGCCATCCCATCGTCCCTGTCACAGGAAATGACGTGTCCTCGCCAGGAAGTGCCGGAAAGTGCAGTAGACTGGTAAGAAAGGACTCATCAATTCACAACCATATATAGGTGTTAACATTTTAATAGCCCACCTGGTTAACACTAGAAAGCCACTTATCAACAAATAATATATATATAAGTAAGACAACGTGCAATCCTCGGCTTCACCAATCACATTAAGGCGGTAATCAGTTCCGACAACTCACTTATATCAAACTAACAACAATATATTTGTATTTCAATTGTAACAATATGTTATTCATTAAACTGTTTTTCTCTCTCAAGTTATGTCCCGATACTTACACAATTTTAACATGATTCTCTATGTTCCTCCTCAGTAACTCTTTGTTACTCTAGGTTACTATTCAGTTACTCTATGTTTCTCCTCAGGTACTCAAGGTTCCTCCTCAGTGACTCTATGTTCCTCCTCAGTAACTCTTTGTTACTCTAGGTTACTATTCAGTTACTCTATGTTTCTCC